TGACCATATTTTAATTACTTGGTTCTGTGCATAATATCTTCATCTTTTAAGACTTCATTTAGAAAAGTACAAAGGGAATAATTAAAACATAATACTTTCCAGTTACCTTAAAATATTTGTAGTTCAGCTTCTGCAGCACTGTAATACTAAAAAATATCTTCGGTTAAAATCTACAGTGCAAAAGATTATTAACCTGATGTATGTGTAAACAACAATAATTAAAAGAGTGGTTGAAAATTGTGCAGTTAAATCCCATCTGTCTCTTAAACGTTGAGATCTTCTGGAAGATTCCTCTCATTTTCTCCTAAATGAAAACCTAAAAACAGAAAAAGAGTCCAGATTTAGTTCACACTGTGTCCTCTGTTCACAGTTCCTCTGCAGTCAGAAAGTCTGGCTTCAGATTGATCCTTCTTGGTCTGATGAAGCGTGGAAAACCATCACAGAGAAAGGTTCTCTTTCTAACATTTTGTGAAATTTATCAATTCAGCCTATTTATATTATCGTCCAATCTGATCATCTGCTGCTCTAATACTTAAACTGGATAAATATCCCATTAGAACAAAAAAAGCAAATTGAAATGATATATATATTTGCAAACAGTTATTGAACTACAAACAGTGCTTTTCTATATGAATATTGCAAATACTGTTACTGTGCTTATATGTGTACAACCTTATTGAAAGTCTAACATATATGTGAAAAGTGGGGTAAACTATCCGTACAATTTCGGTAGCAGCAAGGCTAATACTTATAGTAAAGGAAGTAACGGATCTGTAATAATCTGGTTATCTACTATTGGATAATTTTCACAATTAGACATTTCCTGTTATTATGCAGCTGATTACAGTTTTAAATTAGAAGAAAAGTCTGGAATACAGCCATAGAAAATCTGGCATCAAGACCTGTTTCCCTCAAAAGCGAGAAACTGGGAATATGAGTTGGGAAAAGTGTGGAATCTTGATTTGAGAAATGTGTGAAAAGCCCGTAACTGGAAGAGTGGGTTCATGTATGACAGGGGCTCAAATCAAAGTTGCAGGGACTTGTGATTACTGACGATAGCAGTTTGGAAGACGGACACATTTTCCATCCTCACACAAACATCCTTTGCATCAGCATGACTTCACCGGGTCACAAGTACATCATTAGCAGACAGGAGAAGGGCTGTAAGTATAATCTCCCTGTTATCGTCTATTCAAAATCATGTGACTGCACCAAAAAGGAAACTTTCAATTCCTTACATTTTACCTGTTAGAGTAAACTCTGTCTTATGCATTTTTCTTCAACACACACACACACATATATATATATATATATATATATATATATATATATATATATATATATATATATATATATATATATATATATATTCTATACATATACTAATCAGCTCATTACTTACAGTTTTCCTATAGTTGTCTTCTCATTTATAGTAGATGAACTGTCCTCTTTGGCTGCTGGTGTATCCAGATCCACGTCGGCCATGGCTGGTTCAGGCTGAGGTAGAATCCCACTGCAGGACAATTTACACATTTATAGACACTGGGAAAGATGGTGCACACATTTATAATTAACAACAAATTTTGAAAACATATTAATCATTTTAGGGTTTTATATTAAGTACTTAAGTTAGCAGAAATATTTGTACCATGCTTAGAATTCAATTACATAACTCAGAAAATGACTTACAGGTGCATGCAAGAATAGCAAAAAAAAAAAAAAAAAAGGGGAGAAAATGAAAATATTTCAATTTTATTTTCGTCCAACTCACTTTTTACCTTGTGCAAATTAAAGTCTCATATAAAGACCCAGGAAAAACAAAAACTTAACAAGGTGGAAATTAGAACTGAAATATTAGTGGCTATTATTCAGAGTGATTAATAAGCGGGGCAAAAAAAAACGTGTTCATTTTATTTGTTTGAGGGATATCACTGCAAAAACAATCTAGAAATAAGTAAAAATTTCTTAAATTAAGTGTATTCACCCTTAATTTGAGTAGGTAAATGAGATAGTTTGCCAATGGAATGAGCAATTTTACTCTTAAAATAAGATAATTAGATAATATGCACTTGAAATAAGATAATGCAATTGTGTTTTCTTATTTTAAGTGTAAACTGTCTTGTTCCATTGGCAAAATATTTTTCTTTTACCTCCTCAACAAACGCATTTATTTTAAGAAAAAATGACTTATATAGATTTAGATTTTTTGCAGTGTGGTGGTATTTTGTATAAAATAGTCTACTAAACTCCACCAGGGTTTAGTATTATCTGCAAGTTTAAGACATGAACTGCAAGATTCTGATTGAGTTTTTATGTTTATTTGTTAATTTCCCATTGACTATCCCACAAAGTAATGTATTAGGTACGCTCAGTCCTCTTCCGGGGTTATTTTGTGGGTCAGAACCCGAAAAGTTTAGGAAGCTCTGCTTTTAAATAATGAAATGGTACTGTTCACTGTCAATCAGATGGCTGGAAAACTGTGACAGGAAAGACAAATTTAGCTGAAATATCACAAAAAAACACAGTCATACAACAAAGGGGTCCTATTTTACAAGAAGAGTTAGCCAGCTAAAAAAAAGGCATGTCTGTTAAGCAGCTGACTGCAGGCTCCTCCTGAGCAGATCACTGACTAATTGACCGGAAAACATCAGTTTGTTGTACTTAAAGGGAAGGAATAAACAAAAAAACAGAGGAATGCTTTGCATGAAAGGCATGTGAAAACTACTATTGAAATTTGAAGAAAAAAAAAAAAGTAAATCTGACCATATAATGCTATACAAGGATAATATTTACCATCAAATAGTCTAAATAAATTATTGGTAAGCAGAGAAAGGGGCCCTGGGAAACTATGATATAACAGCATGCCACATATTGCTTTAAAACAATTCTTAATCGTTGCAGACTCTTTCTAAATAAATAGTGCAGCCATCTATTAAGTGACTGCTGTAATACATGCATTTTTGGGGATAATTGCTGCTTTTCTGTTTTAGTAAAACAATAATAGTTTTCCCTCTTTGGGGATAACAATGTAATTTCACTTTAAATGTATTATTACTCTTCTGGTATTATAATAACATACTGTAAGAATTTAATCTGTTTTTGCAGCTCTTTACCAAACTGATACCAGCTGTGTTTCAGGGTGGTTCAATTAAAAATCAACAGTAAGTGATGATCCTGCAATGGTGGAGAAGAGTTGACAGTGAGTATCCTGTGAGGTGACCTCTTGTATAGCTGGATCTCCTCCTGAGCCACCATGAGCTGAGCCTTCAGCTGGTTCCTCTCCTGTAGCACCTCCTTCAGCTCCTGCATGGTGAAGCGTGGTCTGTTCGGATCATTCAAGTCCACCACCACCTGATTTGCTCCCGTTTGCTGCTGGGAGAGGAGGAGAAACCGTTAAAGCCTCTCTACGTGTGTCCCAAACATGAGCTAGAGCCGCGGGATGAGGCTCACCGCGCCATGTCCGGAGGAAGGAGAGCCCTCCTTGATGATCCTGTCCAGCTCTGCCTTCAGGTTGTCTCGCTCCATTTTCAGCTCCTCCACTGACAGATTGTACTTATTCACCAAAGTTTCAAACATCTCGAGGACTCGGACTATCCTGAACTGTAAATCAGACACTTCCTCGCCGGTGCTGCTGATTTTTAACAAATCTCGGCCGATCACGTATGAAATGTCATAGACATCTTCGACAGTGAGCTCAAAGGCGTTCTTCTCAAAGGCCAGAGCAGGCGACGACTCTTCACCAAACTCCATGACGACACGGACAGACTCCTTGAATAAAGTAACTTTTTAAACACAATCTCACACTCGAAGTTCTAAACAGAACGATTCCTCTCAGTTTGTTGACTCTGGATCTTTTTCCGAAACGAAGGTAACAAACTTCCAGCGGGGCAGCACTTCCCCCATCACTCATCCTCCAATAGCGTGACGGCAGAGGAGGGCAAAGTATCCTAGCGACAGGTGAGTTCAAAGATCGTCTATGTAAAAAACCGTTCCCTCGGGCACGATCAAATCCTAAACGGAGTTCATTTATTTAAATAAAGAAAAAAGGACACATCTTCTTGAACATCTGTTCTCTCTGCAATCCAGAACTGTTTTGAACTGTCAAAATCAAGTGATGAATCACGTGTTTTCATGTTTGCGACATTAATTGCCTCCCAGAGCACGGGCGGGGCCAGATGGGGGGGCAGGGGTGGTCATGCCCACCCATAGCCAATCATTGGCCACCCCTACCATTTTTTTCTCTCAAGTAGAATATTAAAAACATTTTAAATTTATATATATTAACAATTACTTGACAACAAAACCACTGTGGTTAATTATGCACATCAATATACCAACATTAGAGATGATTAGTACAGAATTCTTGCCCTTTCAGAACTAGATTTTGTGTTATATGCCGTAAAGAGAAAATGTTAGCAAGTCATCTAAGTCTTCAGTGAAATCATAGATACTGTAAATAACTATTTTAACAAAAACCTATTAAATTATTAATTTATGTAGATATTAGTACCTGTAAATATCAATTTAATGTAGAATATTGATAAAAGTAGGTAAGTAATGACGATGGAAAAGATGTTCGTTCCAGAACTCAAACCTCAAAGAATTTTATCCAATATACCTTTTATCTAGACGGATGTTTAAATATATGCATCTATTTGTTAGCAAAGGCTGTAGGAAACTATAGTTTGTCTTTAGTTAGGAATATGGATGTTGTGCTTGTTCCTGTTGGAACAGTGTTGATTGACCCTGAGGTTGTGGTGCCTATCCACTTTTTGGCCCCCCCTCAGTGTACATTGGTTATTGCCTGGCCACCCTTATAAAAATTTTCCAGCTACGCCTGTTGCAGAGAGAAATTATCTAGTCAGGAATTTCAAAAAGATATATAGTACTGTTTTCTAAATGCAAATGTATAACAGACAATACATCATTTAGATCGTTATAAAGTCAAATGAATGTGGATGTATTTAACAAACGTATAAAATACTAAAAATAAACCTTTATTTACTTTATTCACAAGGACATCAATTTACACGTTCTCCAAAGCAGACATCAAATGCTACATATAATTTTATAATTATTAATTGTACAGCATTCAAGTGGTTTGTTGGAGGAAACTGCAGCATCACTTAAATATGATAATTTTAACATTTCAATTGTTTTAAAATCATAAATCATCCAGTAAACTTTTCCCAGAGCAATTTGTGACATAATTCAGATAATGCATGTAAAAAAAATTAAAGTATGAGAGAACTCAAACTGTAATCTACAAAATGCTCAATTGTAAAGTATTTGGATTCATTTAAAGTATTGCCAAGTTGGCCGTAAGTTAAACCAAAACATTTAAAAAGTGACTCTATAATTCATGTTGACTTTAAATTCAGAAACAGGGCAGGGGCTGGTTATTGATAATAAGGCAAACAAAGGTTATAAAAACTTTACTTTTAAACTAGCAAAATTTATTTTTGGCATAGCACAATTGTGAATTAAAACCCATTTAATGAGATGCCTTAAAAGTGTTTATGTGTTCTCCAAAAGCAAGGAACATATAGAGACATCAAATTGTCTCTTGAGAAGGAAAACTTAATGCATTTCTGTTTTACGGAAAAGGAATCACATCAATTTTAATATTTTGGATTAAAATCATGCTGTAATAAGAATACTGCCCCATTTCTAGTATAATCAAAAATCCAGTTCAGAGCCATTTTTCCCAAATAAAATCATTTTTGTGTCGAGATGAATTGTAAAATAAATATTTTGCATGAAAACATTCATACGAAGGAAACAAGTCTCCTGATTGGCAACAAGGTGGGATCGTCTGTGATTAAACCAGCAGCCACCATCGGCATTATGGCAGTGAAGATCCTGTCCAGAAAGTGAAATGGAAAGAATGGACAGGAAAAAGGTAAAAGAGATGTTTTTAGTCTTTATGGATTTGTTGCCATTCATAGTAAACTCAGTTCTGTAGATCAAAAGCATAAATGGGCTTAAAAAAACAATCTCATTACTTACAAGCGTCTTATTCCTGATTCAGGCTGATCAGCAGAAGTGGGATGTGATGGAGTATTAAGAGGAGAGGCAGTAGTGCTGATGTCTTCTTCAAACTCCTCACTAAAGCAATAAAGACAAGGTTAGCTTTAAAATCAAATGCTTTCTAAACCATCCAGAGCGTGAGATTGCAAAGCAAATCTCACCTCTTGTAATACGCTAACTCTTCCTGGAGCAGGAACACCTGGGCTTTAAGTTCATTCCTCTCCTGCAGGACATCCTGCAGCTCCTGTAAGGTGAAACGAGGTTTGTCTGCATCCTGTTCAGAGCCGTCCGTCTCATCCTCTGACTCAGCATAAGCTGAGTGATCCTGCAGTAAAACACACATTTAGCCTTTCTGCTGTGCACCATTAACATCAATAACAAAGCTGGTTGGTTGACAGGGCCTCTGAACAGCCAGGCAGTAGAAATGATAACCTGGGTTGTCTTGGAGATGCTAATACCATGACAACAGACATGCCTAAAAAAAAGATATGCTGCTTCACCCTTGCAAAGCTAGTTACAATAAAAAATGATGCAATCTAAGCATTAAACAAGATAAAATATGCATGCTTGATAAAAACATAGACACAGAGAGTGATTATCTTAACTGAACCCGAAAGAAGATTTTACCAGCAAATGTGCTGCAGTGTTTTCTCCTCCAGGAAGCTCTTTCTCATTCGTTCTATTTTCTGACGTTGTCAGAAGGGAAAGGCTCTTGTCACACTGCAGGCACTTTTCCACAAAGCTGGGATCTCCTCCACACTCCACCCACACTGATCTTGGTTTGTCACAGTCAGACATGGAAGTCCCTGCAGTCTGGATGTGGAACAAACAACAGTTGATTCCAGTGCCTGAGTAAACATATCTAGTCACATTACAATAGCAAACATGGATCTTTTGGTTTACCTGGACTTTTTGTGTGACAGAACAGAGCAAAGTATTTTGTAACTGTGGGGTGGAATGATAATAATTGAACTTTATTGATCTCACACTGGAGAAATTTACCTTTGTAATTAAAACATCCCCTTGAGGAGCAGTGGGCTGTTTGGAGTTAAGGGTCTTGCTGAGATACCCAGAGTGGAGGCTGTGGTGATCGAACCAGATTCTTGCAAGCTTCTCAGAGCATAAGCGCACTGCTCTAACCACTAGGCAATCACAAATACCCAATACAATCACCTTTTGCAATTACAACTAAAGGTCTTATGGTGTATGGCTCTTCAACTTTTGCACATCTATATACTTTTGTCCCTTCTTTGTAGAAAAGCTCAATGTTTGTAGAAAAGCTCACGTTCTGGATGGACCATGTCTGTGAACTGCCACTTTTAGGTGTTACAGATTAACTGGTTTTAGATCTAAACTGTGACTGGGTCATCCAGACCAGCGGTCCCCAACCACCGGGCCACTGGTACTGGTCCGTGGGTCATTTGGTACCGGGCCGCACAGAAAAGAGTATGAGTATATATATATATNCACTGAGTTCAGGACATGTCCAGTGCCTGTCCAGCCACTATAGCATTCTTGGAAATGGGCTATCTTGACCTGCATGCAGCCCTTGTACCATGAACTGGCCTACACCTTTCTTTGTGGTGCTCTCCGATGCATGTTATCATTTTACCTTTCTCCTTCTCCTCAAGCTTAACCACAAATAGATACAGACTTTGAGCCTCAATTTGCTGCACAGCTGCCGTTATGCCAAAGTGTTTTCCTAAGATATTATTTTATTTTTAATGATAGAAGGGAGGAAAAGGGGGCAAAAATCATGTCCGATTTAGTTTTTTGGGTGGGGTGGGGGGTTTATTTCATGATAGCTACCAACTTCCAATACATAATATCTCTCAAATGACCCAATGCACCATCACTGAAGTGGGCATAATCATTTTCCAAAATGTTTATTTTTAGGCCATTTATCCCCTCCCCCTGTGTCTGTGTGAAACCTGTGCTTGTCAGTGTCTGTGTGGTATACCTAATAGTGTGTGTGCAGTATGTGCACTCTTCTGTACAGGACAGTGTGCATGTCTGTTCACAGTATACAGTATTTGTTGCATAGTGCGTGCGTGTGTGTGCGCCAGCACGCGCGGGGGGTTGAGGGGCCAAGACCATGTCAGGCCCAGGGGGCCAAAATTTCTTAATCCGCCCCTGACTTCGCCTATGAGAAAAAGGAGCAGCGCATGAACCGAACGAAACACACGCGAACCGAACCGAGACAGTCGAACCGAACGGTGCGGACGGTTTCATAAATCGTCCCATCCCTAATATATATATATATATAAAATTATTGGCGATCAGAGTCTGAGTGATGTTTTATTTTGAAAAATATAAAAAATTGCTCTCCCAATTACATCAGTCATGCATCTGTGCCTCTTGACACAGGTTAATTCAGTTCAAGACTCATCCTATCTATAACATCCTATCTTTGTGAAGCGGGATTTTCTGTGGTTACAGCGACCAAAACAAAGCTACGGAGCAGACTGGACATCAGGAGCACACTTCGTCTGTCATTTTCTCAGATTACACCTAGATGGGACCGGCTTGTTGTTTTATTTTAATGCTGTTTGTATTTGATTTTATCATTTTACTTGATCGTATTCAGGATCGGATTCAGGTTTTGAACCATAGTGAAACCTACAGGTCACCAGGCCTTAGGAGTGGAGTTGGGCATCCTGGATCCAAACCACCATGTTTCAGCTTTTGGGTGTTTCCAGGGTGATTTTCTGTGGAAGTTTTTGGCCTTATCTTATGCAAGAACATTTCCTACATGTTTGATGTTCCTCCTGATCTGGCAAGTGAAAAACTGCAAAGTAGATTTGGGTATCTGAGCTAACGAACATCCTGATAGAGTTTAAATGTTGAATTCAGGGATACATATTAGTTCTCTTACTTTCATTGATGCTGATATTGGCGAAGGGGTCCCTGATCTTGTTCCAAGAGGGGAAACTATCTCTGCCAGTTCTCTTTCTAGTTCCTTCTCCTTGAGCTCCTTCCTCAGCCTTCTGACCTCCAGCTGGAGAGCGGTGAACTCCTGCTGCTGTGCTTGGGCAGCAGCCTCCAGCTCGGCTCTCTGGTGGATCAGCGCCTTCCCCTGAGCCTCCATCACTCCGGTCCTGTGAAGAAGGTCCTGGTTGATTCTGATGAGGCGATGCTGCTGCAACTGAAGCTGTTTTAAAGAGACAGCGTCTTACTATATATTTAATTCTAGCCAGAGATGGAACTGAAATGTGCGTAGATTAAACCCTCACCGCTTCAACATCCTCGTTTCTTAGTGTAAGCTCGTGGTCTTTTGCTCGGATCTCATCTCTCTGTTTCTCCACCAAGTCTTTCAGCTTCAGTATTGCTTGGCTTTCCTTCTTTGACTTCCCTGCTTTAATGGAAAAAGAAACATAATCTGTAAAACACAAATAAAAAATAAGTAATCCCAACAGATATATGCCTAAACCAGCCCTAATTGTACCATCAAAGATGCTTCTAGAAGTTAGTTTAGGTTACAGCTACATAAGATCCATTTAGATTATCTCTTTTATACCATACTGGAGTGGGTCTGGTGGTCCAGTCCTGCAGAATCTACCTAATGAATTATACGACTGCAATATAAAGTGCGAGAGTTGAAGCGAGGGCTGCAGTCAAGACTGCAAGGACAGCTGCACTTGCAAAGATTCTCACACAAGAGTTATATTTTCTACTGCTTCAAAAATAGTCTCCTTAACAAGCTCCTGCCGGTGTCTTCATTGCCTACATAGAGGTCAGCTTACAAACATGTATATTACTCTATTAACAGGAGGCAGACTTTGATATTTTCAAATGGGGTCGATCAACAGATGTTGATTCATTTCTTGTTTAGTCCAACAATAACTCACTTTCCTGTCCAAAGGAAAAAGCACATGGCAAACCACCTCCACTCCAGAAACACAAAAGATTGAAAACAAGATGGAATCAAATTTTGGAGGTTAAAATTGACCCAGTTTTTGACAGCTGAACCAAGGGAATCATTTGAAATTATCCAGAAACAACAATATTCCAAAACCTAATAAAAACAACAACAAAAAAACATCATTTATATAAAAATATGGTCCCATTTCCCCCAATCACTCAAAATGTTTTGCATCTGAAAGTCACTCCAGTAAAACTCAAGGTAACATGTAGGATACTGTCTTAAGTAAAACAAACTTAATCCAAATATACCTTATAATGTATTTATTTATGCACATTTTTCTTTCTGCTGACACACTGGATTTGCAAAATGAGTTTCAGAATGAATAATTTTTTAACAGAATGTTTGTGATTAAACAACCAAAATTACTTTATACCTTTTGTGCATTTGTGCAACACAAGGATTCAAATCAGTCTTTGTAATTAGGACTGTTCAAAAGATTCATTCGGGATAAACCCATTTACTGACCCGTCAGGAGAAGAAAACATATTTATGGTTAAAAGATACAGATAATTTTCTTGTTTGTGTTCAGTTTTCAGAAAGGCTTTGGTTTGTTTAAAATGTTCAGGTCAGAGGATATTAAACCAGACATCTTTGTAGATTTCTATTATTTCTATGTTATTTTAAATTTTTCTGCCAAAAACTTATATTGAGAGATAGGTGCATCTCAATAGATTTAAAAATAATTGAATAGTGAACTTATTCTAGTAATTCAGCTGTATTGTGTTTTATTCCGCCCTCAGTAATTGGTCAGGGCACCTTTTACTTGAATTACTACATTAAGGCAGCACGGCATGGAGGTGAGCAGGCTTTGGCAAAAGTAAAGTATTAAACAAGTCCAGGTTGCTTTAAACTCTTCTCAAAAATCCATGTACGGACTTTGCTTCACAATAATCTCAAGTCTGAAGTTATCCCTAATGTTTTCCTCCAACATTTTTCCTTCCACTTAACTTTCCAACAAGACGCTTGGATGGACATCCTGAAAAGACGAGTTTCATGTTCTTATTTGATGCACATGAATGCACCCGTTTCTTTTTATTAAACCAACCTAATTTCTCTTTACTGGTCACATCATTGCCAATAATTAATCTGTTCATAGTTGCAGAGAGGAGTTTCAGTCCCACACCACCTACCTTCGTGTTTCTGGAGGTCGTCCTCTGTAGCGGAGGACTCTTTCAGCGAGACGTTAACTTTTAACCTCTTGTTCTCTGCCTGAAGCCGAGCGACTTGAGACAGCAGATCCTGGACTTCTCCCCTCCAAACATCCTCTACCTGCTCCAATTGCTGATCACAGATATTACAGGAGAAACATGAAATTAAAAACAGTAGGTCAATCACATCTTTAGAGCAGTAATATCGGTTTTGGAATGATTGGGTCGGTTAAGTATGACTTTGGGGCAGGATTGTGGAGATGCATGCACAGCAGCAGTAATTGGCATCACCTAAAAGAAAGGGAACTGCAGTAGTACTGTAGATTTTTGCAATGCCCATTGTAACTGAATATATTGTGAAGCTCTATATTGAATAAAAAAAAATAATCAAAGAAAGGAGGATAATGGTTATCATCTGGTATCCAAAGTTCTTTTACTCGTCACAAAAAATTCCAAAGCTGTGTAAAAAATATTTGTCATCTGCATAATCCTTTTACTCCTTCATGAAACAAATATGATTAATTCCAGACATTAAATAAATCATGGTCACTATTCAATTGATCATTCAAAAATCTAAAGTAGCAACATTTGTAAGCTGCTCTGCTCAGGTCAAATTTTTTAAATCTACAGCAATAGAGGAGAATCTGTTAAAACAACTATTATTTGTTATCCACAAATGTGTCCTATATGGATGCCACACGTAAGAAGAAAGCAATTTGTGAACAAAGTTATAAGAAGTCATGCTTTCAGTTTGTCCAAAAAAAGTAGGCTATGTAGAGGAAATATTGGAAGATGCTGCTATCTTCAAAGAGGATATCAATTAAATCTGAGAGAGTTGGAACTTATTTAAAACAAGAATTAACGATAAAATAGATCTGAAACAATTCATTGGATTATTCATGATCAATGACCCTTATAATAATCCAGTCACCATTATCTGGAATTCACAGACTTTAAAACACACCATTTGCTGAAAGAATACCCCACTAAGGGCAACAATTAGGCCAAAAGATGTAATTTGATCTATCCAGAACTTCTAAGTGGTAACTCTGAAAATTTTTTTGTGTTTTCTTTTTCTTCTTCTTCTTTTTTTTTTTACTAAGGTAGGTTGTTTAAAAAAAGTATCTATTTTACACTAAAAAGGAAAAAATCCCAGTTAAAAACCTGAAACCATCAATAGTTTTTTATAATTTATAGCAGGTCTGCAATAAAAACCAGTCTCAGGCTGTGTAGAGCTGCTATTCTCAAAGGGTGGTGTCCTGGACCAACAGGTAGGTTATTGGATCTCATGGATCATCCACGGCATGGGGGTCTCCACCCCTAAAGGATTGTTGATTACTGCAGGGGGCAAGTTAAAGATTAATTTTTATCACAAATAGGTTAGGTAGCTTCTGCAAAAACTATTTAAAAACACTTTTGTATTATATTTACACATGTAACCTACCAAGACCTGATCACTGTGGAGCTGTTCTTCATTTAGGCCTATTTTGTTGCATATTTTCAGGCTGAAATTAACAGTTTACATTTGAGGGATATTACTTCTTTGTCAGCATTCCTCAAATAGCTGTTAACAACATGTAATCCAACTTTAATTTAGGTGAAATGTTAATAATGTTCTCTTTCTCTGCTACTTATATGCTGGTCTATGACATACAAATTTAAAATGCATTCAGGTTTGTTATTGAACAGTCAGATGCGACATGCGGGCCTTTAATCAGCAGCTCGGACCTCCTGCTGCTTCCTCTCCTGCTGGTATCTGTCGCTCCTCTCCCGCCGCAGCCTGTCCAGCTCCCCGCGCAGCTCCTCTGTCTCCTGTCTGGCAGCCCCGCGGCCCACCAGGACCTCCAGGACCTCCAGAACCCGCACCACTCGGGGCACCACCCCGACCAGACACTCGCACCCGAACCTGTCTATGACCCGCTCAAATTCCTGGCCGAGCACCGCCGCGATGTCGTAGACGTCCATGACGGTGAGCTCCGCCGCAGGTCTGTCCAACGCTGACATAACGCGGCTCTCTGTTTATCCCGGGCTCTTTATTTAAACCCCCGAAATCCAACATATCTCTGTTGAAAACAACACATTCATCGGACTATGTGGGGGAAAAAACAAACAATTAAGTTAAGGCAAGAAACGTGAAGCGTAAAGCAACGCAGGAGAAACTTGGGGGAGTTTGTTGACAGTTTGAATTTCATCAAAGTCTGCAGCGCCTCTTCTGCTGCTGCTGCATTTGAGTCAAAGCGAAAACTCGGAAATTTCAGTTTTAAAATATCAAAGCGTTGTATTACCATGTTCTCCTCAGTAATGGATTGTATTTTACTAACCCGCTTACTCAGTTGAGCTAAATTGTGAATGTGCACAACTAAGAAGGCCTTAAAAACGTTTTTTTGTTTTGTTTTTAATTAATCCCTTTAACAAAGGGAAAACATAATTATATTTCAGGTTTCTACTGTACATTCAGCCTAATAATTCAACCAACACCAAACTCTAAAATAGTGATGTTACAATAGTTTGAGGGGACGAAACTTTTCTTTTGTTTTTAAATCACAAACTCTGTTAAATTTGCACAAGTTTTAATTTTTACTACTGGCTCTAAAGACACAACTTCTCCTTCCAAATTAAGCACAAGAAACTACTGCGCATGTGAAGACATGACTATATAACTCTAAAAGCCCATCAATCATCTGTCAATGTCACCCACCAAAACATGTCTGCACATGAATGTGCAAATCAAAAAAGGTTACTATTTGAAAAACAAAATAAATACTATATAACTATAAATATTATAAATATATAATTTCCATATGTATAAGTTCCATATATATATTTAAATATGGGACAAAAACAAAAACCAAAAACAGAGATCCATTCAACAAGGCAGAATATTATTAAAAAGTTAATTTATTTCAATTACTAGACGTATTGTGTAAAACACATAATATAAAGTAAAAACAGACAGGAGTAATTTTATGTTAACGATTATAAGCTTACAACTAAGGAAAACACAGCATTTAAGGAAATACATCAGAAAATTGAACACATTTCTAATACTTAAATAGTTTTACTTTAAAAAGGTAGCCTACTTCTGAGAAACTATTTGTATTTAATACAACTCTACATTCAAACACTATTAAAAACTATTAGGAGCGAATCTGATAATATACACACAATTTATAACATTACATGGAATTAATTCATTATATATTTATATTAGAAAATCATACAGCTACAAATAAATAAAAAACATGAAGTAATGCTATAATTGCCATATAGAAACTGACTCTTTGGTCAGTGCTATATCTGAGAATATTATTAGAAAGTTGAGTGGAAGAAAAAAGTAAATTAGCAAGAGGGATAACCACTGCCCTGAGAGGATTGGGAAACAAACCCATTTAAGTACCTTTGGGAAAACTACAGGACTTTGGCTCTGACTGTCAAAGCTTTCAGAACCCCCCCACAGATGTATCATTGTGCTTGATTGGTCAAAACTGGACTAAATCTCTGAGGTTCCTTTTGAAGCTGCCTGGGCTTCCTTAAGGAGGTCTTTTTTACCAAATGTTGTAATAACTTACCTGTAAAATCATGGGTACATTCCAAAACACTTGCCCCTTTAAAAGCTTATCATTGTCATAGGCTGATCTCCTCTATGCCATGTCACATTGAACCAATAACTCTGTACTGTACAGTAGGGTGACCAAACGTCCGTATTTCCCGGGACATATCCGTATTTCACGTCCTGTCCCGGGCGTCCCGGGTTTTTTTTAGAAAGTGAGGAAATGTCCTGATT